AAAAAGTGCGATTGCGGGCGATAAGTTGGTCATTTTATGGTCAGTAAGTTGGCTGACATGGTCATTTTTGTATGAATTAACGTTATTTGAATAGACGATATGTACTAAAAGTTTGGACGGCACTCAACCGTATAGTGCGCACTCAATGTGCGGCAATTTTTTTCGGAAAATGTATACATATAATGTAGTCATATAAAGTGCTATTCAAAAATGACCATGTCAGCCAACTTAATGACCCTAAAATGACCAACTTATCGCCCGCAATCGCACTTTTTGACCATGCGCATTTATTAATGACATAATTAAGTTTATGAACATACAAATTAAACTAGCATTCCCAACTTTCCGTATCGAGAAATTCCTTCTAAGTAGCAAATATAATACAAACTAATAGAGATAACAATGGCATTACGTGGAAATATAATTAAATATTATTTAATTGCATTATATATTAATATAAATTACATTGGAATGTTATATTCTGTACAGACTGGTAATTATTTTTTATACCTTTTTAATAATAAATATTATCTCTTATTATGGATATAAATTAATGTGTAAACCATTTCAGGTACAATTACTGGGGATATTCCAATTAATTACACAGGTAAGGTTTTTAATTAAACTAACATAAGATATTACTTTATTACTTTAACACGATCACATAGAAATAGATTATAATATAATATTATTACATTTTCATTGATTAATAAACTAAGTTATTAAAACCAAACATTTAATTAGATTAAAATTGTAACTTGCTAAAAAATATACAGATATAAATTTAGATATATAAATCGTATCTACCTTTATAATTAAATTAGCATTTACACCAATGTCACCTCAAACTGAAACTTTCCAGTCAATGGGTAAATGCCGTACAGCTCCCGGAAGTCCAGTAAATATAAGCAGGATATTTTTCGGGGGATCCACAATGGTTAATTCTACGTGTAATGGAATTATTCAATCTGGTTCATCTACTAATAATCAGACAGATCAAACATGGTTGGCTATCCAGGATGACCCGCCTAGAATTATTCCTTTCAATGTGTCTAATTTATATCGAGTAGCTACAAATATCAATGGTATTAATAAAGTTAATAGTTTCAATAATTGATAAACTATTTAAATATATTTGATATATTTTTTTAAAAAAGGTGATGGATTTACACATGATACCGCTAAAATTAACGGTGGAATTTGTTCTGGGTCAGATTATTGGGAAATGACAATGTACAAAGGTTTGCCGTTTGATGGGTGCAATGACATTGATGGAATTATGACCCAGCTATGTATATACAGGTTGTTTACAATTTCAGGTGCTTGCAATATAACCTGTCAGGTATATGGCGATTCATTTATAATACCTGCCGCTATTGGTTTTATTATTGATACATATGTTCCTGGTTTTAATAATAACGGTGCCGCATAAATGTTAAATGCTGTATATACTATAACTCAATACTGCAACAGCATTTTCTATTAATTTATTTTAAATAATAATTTATGTTAAAATATTTGTAATGAATTAAAACATTTATAAACATTATATAAAACTAGTGTATTAAGAATATAAGTCATACAATAAATGTTTAATGATTATTTTATTAATTACTTTCCACGAGAATACAAATTATACTAAACATAATATTATTGATCAAACATTATCATTTATTATCTAAATGATAACCTATATTCTTGATTATTGATAAAAAAAAGTTATCTAGAATAAGTATATAAATTATAATATATTGGTTTGAAACTGTAATATATTTAAATGTAATAAATAATTACAATCATTTCTTACGCCTCTCCATAGCCACTATAACACTGACCGGGGTCAACGATTGCAATACACGTTTATAACGCAATGGTCGGTCAGTAAGGTTTGACACAAAAAACTGATATTTTAGTATGACACTGACCAAACATAATTTAACACATATTAACGCAAACTTCATACCGATGCAGTGTCTAGGTCCATCACCAAATGGTAAATAAGTGTATGGTTTAATTAATTTGGCATTAGCCCCAATAAACCTATCAGGATTAAACTTATCAGGATCAACAAAATTATCCGGTGATCGATGCATGGCGTGCACCGGGATCTCTACCCGTTGACCAGCTTTGATGGTCAGCCCTATTGCCGGGAACGTGTAATCGGTATTTGCCACCCGTTTTACCCGTGGGAACGGCGAGTATAACCTCAGGGTCTCCGACACACAGGCGTCTAAATACGGCATAGAGTCGAGTGTCTCGTACCCTATGTCGCGGTTTTGGTTGCCAGTGATTGCCTGTATTTCGTCGTATAACCGTTGCTGACAATCGGGGTTAACGACCAATACGTACGTACAAAAGGCTAAGACTGTCGAGGTGGTTTTGGTGCCTGCCAAGAAGTACGTTAATGCCTGTGCAAATATTTGGTCCTGGGTGAGTTTACTGCCAGTTTTATTCTTATTGTTTTGTTCACCATTGGAATTAAAGTATTCAGCTTCCATCATCAATTGAACAAGGTCGTTGTGTTTTGTTTGTGTTTTACCTTGTTCTTTATGTCGTTCATTGATTAATTTACGAACTATTTTAAAATAAAATAATCTAGCTTCTTTTGTGAAATATTTAGCAATATTTCCAATTACTGGTGGAAATAGTGCCGAGTACATTTTAGACGAATGTAATAAACCGAATACTACCCGGGCATTTGAGACGAATGGATTAGATTTACCGTTAATAATGTCGTTATACGCGTCACACCTTACGCCAAACTCGCACCTTAATATGGTGTCCATGGTGAATCGCCAAAATTTATCATTTACATCAATGTCGGTGAGTTTACCATGGTAGTTTTGATCCAAGTGTGTTATAAACTCGGACACGCACTGGCTAATGATCGGGTACATTTGTCGTAATTTGTTTGGTGAAAATGTTGGCGACACGATAGCACGTACGCCACGCCACGCGTCGCCCGACATGTGAACCAAACTGTGTTTGGCTATCGAGTCGTCGCCTGATTTCGATGCGCGCGACCTATCGGTGAACACATGAAAGTCTCTGACAAGGATTGCCTGAACCAGCTCAGGGTCGGCTACTGTTAGCACAGGTGTCGTGCCAAAAAAGTATCTAGTAAGTTTTTCGGAATTATATTTTATTTTCTGTTAAATTTTAGCAGTATTATTGTTTAATCTGATTATATACCCATAGATTTTACCAAATTTTTGGTACCAAATAAGTTCCTGAATGGGTTGCGGTTTAATAAATAGGTCCAGTGTGTTGCCATAAACGAGTTTTGTAGCAGGGCCATTTATACCAAGTTTACGCCAGTAATCAAATTGATATCGAGAATTCCTAAAAATATGTTTAAGAAAATTTAATATGTAAATTAATAAAAATAAATTATAAATGTATTATGCTAAGTTATAATGTTGATAATTTCTTACTTAACATTAGTAATCGATATGATTGCAATAAATATAACAAGTATAATAATTAATAACCCAATCATATTTTACTGTATATGTTATGTAAATTTATAAAAATATTATGGTGATTAACTTAGGTTGTTGAGTTTAAAATTAACTTTTTAAAAATAAAATAATTTCCTATTTATATAGGAACTATATTTCTACAAATCATTTTGA